TGTCGGCCTTCCGTCTGGATAGTGTTTCATGTGACGATCGATGATCTCTTTGAACAATTTGGCTTCCCCTTTCATTGTCGTCAGTTGGTCTTCGGTTGTTTGAGAGGGGAAACCTTTTATTTTATGGTCTAGCATACGTTGGACCAGGTTCAATTCATCTTTGATTTCGCGTATTTGTTGTTCGGTCAGTTCTTGTGGATTGTGCGAACTGTTTGTATCAGTCATGTTGAAAATGTTGTCTGATTTGTCGTGTTGCTGAGTGCGAAACGGTTATGGATGATGGTAGTTGACGGAGATGGTATTATGTGGAGATTAGTTTTGTATATGATATATGATAGTTGGATAAAATGTTTGATTATATAGTGAAAATATTTGATTGAGAAAAGAAAGAATGGTAGAATGAATAATGTTGTTTCGAAGGAAAAGGAAAATGTAGTGGTTGATATCAGATGTTTTGTTGTGATGTGATGATAATGATTATATTTTGTGTTGTGACGGTTGATTGAAAATCGTTGATGATAGTAATTATTAGCGGAAGTTGGGAAAATGATTTTCACAATCCTGTTGGCTTGTCATGTACTAGATCCTTTCTAGATTTCACTGTATTTGTGAATGTCACTCAATACAGGATTCTAGGGTGCAGCTGATGGGGATTTCTCCATGACACTGGAAATGAAGATTAAGTCGCCAACTTCACTAATAACAAGGAAATTTATTTAACGATTAAGGATGAATGTTCGATAAATTATTTTATTTATTTGTGGATATAAATCATTCGATTGAAAATACAATAGATTAAATAGAATTTATATGATGAAAGTGTCGATTAGTTTTGTGAAAAGAAAAGGGATTGTTGAGTCGAATGTTGAAGATGAAATGAGATGGTCAATAAATTCTATAGAGATAGAATTTATCGAAATGCGTCAACCATGGAGGTCGAAGAAAGTGATTAGTCGAATATTGAAGATGAAGTGAGATGGTCAATAAATTCTATAGAGATAGAATTCATCGAAATGCGTCAACCATGGAGGTCGAAGAATAATTAGTCGAAAATTGAAGATGAAGTGAGATGGTCAATAAATTCTATAGAGATAGAATTCATCGAAATGCGTCAACCATGGAGGTCGAAGAATAATTAGTCGAAAATTGAAGATGAAGTGAGATGGTCAATAAATTCTATAGAGATAGAATCCATCGAAATGCGTCAACCATGGAGGTCGAAGAATAATTAGTCGAAAATTGAAGATTAAGTGAGATGGTCAATAAATTCTATAGAGATAGAATTCATCGAAATGCATATATATAACTGTGGATGCATCTCAAAAAAAACCAGAACAAACAAAAGTTGATGATTTTCATTATAAAAATTGAATCCATTTTTTTCTGTTCTGTCATTGTTGTTGTTGTTGTTGTTGTTCCATCATCATGAACAACAAACAGAAGACAAAAAAAAAAAACTTTTATATCTTGTCATGATGCGGGAAATATAATTGTTTTGTTTGTTTCAACAACAACAACAACATACCCGATATGATATGATTATGTTGATTCTGTTGAAATCATTGAAACATGAAAATGAAATCAAAAATAAAAAAAAAACAGACATCATTTTTTGTCATCAAACCAAGAAAATGATGAACGAAAATAAAAAATCAAACGAACCAAAAAAAACTTTGTACATTGTGTGTGTGTGGGAATTCTGTACATTTATTTCTAGATGTTTGGTGGAATAGAAAAATTCATGTGAATTGAATTGAAATTCATTAGGCCATATTTTTTTTCGTCTCAATTTAAAAATTTGTTTTTGTTTGTTTCTTCCTGTTTTTTTTTCAGTGAGAAAATTCACCATTCCATTCAACCATATGATCGAAGACTAATGATCGTTTACGTTGCTGTTGTTGTTGTTGTTGAGAAACGTCAAACATTCCGTCGTACTTACAAGAATAGAATGAATGAAGTGTATGAGCAATGGCAGTTTTGATTTCGATATCCGCTATCCATTTCTAAATCGAATGGAATGCATTTCCACTTTTTCTTTTTTTTCCATTGAAATTAAAACGACAACAACAACAACAACAACAACAAAAAATCGAAATCGAATAACAATCACACACTCACTTAACGGGAAATAAATATCCCAAAACACAGATCCATAGATCCGATCTCAGTGGAAAAAAAAAAGCAAGCAATGAGTTTCAATTTTTTTTGTCGTTGTCGTTGTTGTTGTTGTTTAGAATCGAAAATGAAAAAAAGAAGAGAGACCGGCACAACAACAATACCACCGCCAATGCTATGCCGTTTTACCATCATCATCAATCAATCAATCAATCAATCAATCTGTTTTTAAGCGACAAGCAAACCAAGCAGTACAGTTTTTTTTATTTTTATTATTTCACTATAGAATATAGAATTGAAATTCTTTTTTTTGTTGTTGGTTGTTGTTGTTGTTAGAAACGCCATTGTGTTCAATGCCATTGTTGTTGTTTGCCTCATAAAGAAGGGAAAAAAAGGCAATGAGGCAAACTGGATGGATAGATATTGAATAGTTTCGTTTTTTTTCCCTTTTTTTTGATTCACATCGATGAATAATTCAAATAGATTCCTCCTATTAGATGGTCTTTGTTTTTTTGATGTGCCAAAGAATGGTGATGTTATTATTGTGAAAAAAAACTCCCAAAAATTTTGTCCAAAGAGGATGGTTATTCATAAAATTCGCATATGGTTTTTTTTTCTTTGATCCATTGTGGTTCATGACACAGTGTTTATTTTCCACTTTTCACATTGTTTTCTTCTTTTTTTTAATCTATTTGATGATGATGATGATTGAATATAAAGATGTTGTGTAAAGATCAATAAGACTTTTATCAGTGAATGTGGTAATAATGGTAGTAGTAGTAGTAGTAGTAGTATTGGTGGTGGTTAACCAATCAACCACACACGCCATTATGACAACGATAATATAAATGGACAGTGATCATCGTTATTCATCGATAATAATTGACCAATTGGAAATTTATTTCATTTATTGTAACAAGATTTTGAATGAATTTGATACAGAATCCATTCTGTTGTTGATTCTGTTCCAAAAAAAAAAAAACAACATAGCAACAACAACAACAGTGACACAGACACATTTACAACATATGTAAAAAAAGGGATACTTATTTGTTATTCTGAATTGCATTTTTTTTTTTTTTACTACCGATCCATGGAACAAGATGGAGAGAGAGTGAGTGAACAAAAAAAAACATGTTAGCATGTCGATGTTGTGTTTGTTTCGGTGTGTTCCAACAAAAAAAAAAAAACAAAAAAAAACTTGATTCCAACTATTAGATTCAGATTGAAAATGTTTGTTCACAGTGTTGTTGTTTTTTTTTGCATTCTCTCATTCTGGAATAAGTTCTTAGATTCATTGGTTGGTTCGTTTGCACTAGAATCTAGAGTCTAGAGATTGTGGATGTATTGAGAAAACTAGAAAAAGTTTTCATTTTCTTTACATTTCTTCAAAACACACAGTCACAGGATAGATAGATAGATAGATAGATAGACAGATAGATAGATATAATATGTGCTCGTATTTTTGTTTCTACCCTGTAAGTACATTGCATACTTTATGCGGATGTTAGTGCCTTTTTTTTTTTTTGTATTCAGCAAAATGGTTTTTTTTTCTCCTGGTGATGGAGATGGTGGTGTGCAGGTTGGGTGGATGAAAAAAAAAATTTCTCATTCTTGGTGTGTGTATCTGTGTGTGTGTGTGTGTACGGTACAGATATATATAAAATTAATGAGCCATAATGCTTGTTTTCCGATTCTAGAAACTATGATGATTCTGGTTGCTTCATTTTTTTTTCTAAAACCAAATTGTAATGTAGAATATAGAAAATGGAATGGATGATTTTTTCATTTCATTTCATTTTTTATTCTTGTTGTTGTTGTTGTTGTTGTTTTTTGCTGTTTCTGTTTTTTTTCTTCTTCTTTTTCTTCTTCTTATGAAACAAGATGTTTTTGTTTTTTCGCCAATGTAAGAGCACCACTTACGTTATGCATTTATCTGTATATATATAGTGAATGGTGATATTAATACTACAATGATGAGGAACACAAACACGCAGACCCAAAAAAAACAGAGTCAGAGACAGAGATAAAAAAAATATACATCATGTCTGTGTATGTAATGTGAAATTGTAATTTTTTTTTCCAACGAAATTTCCTAAAAATGAATAGTCATCATCATTTATTTGATTTCGTAAGAGAGTGGCATATATATATATCAATTTAAATGGTTTAACCCCATCAGAATACAAAAAAAAAAAAAACAAAATCTGATTCAGTATCTAGTAATTGAATGAATGTATGAATGAATGATGAAAAAGGAAATGACAAACTATTGAAAAAAAAGTGCACTATAAACTTTCGAATGAAATGTGGATGAATAAAATCTACTTGAAGAAAAAACAACAACAAAAAATGTATGTGAAAAGATGCCTGAGAAAAAAGGGGATCCAATGATGATGATTCTGGAACAAGAGTAGTAAATTCTGGAATCAGTGAAAAAAAAAACGAAAGTTTTCAACAATAAACATCTGGGGCTGAAACAAAAAAAAAAAGCTTGAAGAATGGAAAAATTAATCGGGTTATTTTGTTGTTGTCTCAATTTTTCTTTTCAATTTTTGTTTTTGTTTTTTCTTTTGTTTTATTCTTCGAATTCTTATCCAATTGCCCAAATGACGGTGAGAACGTGTGTGTGTGTGTCTAGCGGTTGTCAAATAAAGACAGTATTTTTCCATTATTCCACAAATTCCACACGACGACGACGACAAAAAGAATTTCGAAATCGAATGAAGAGAGAGAGAAAAACTTATAAGCTGACAGTGACGGAAATACCATTTTCGGTGGAATTTTTTTTTCAATTTAATCTAATTTAAATTTTTTCTTTTTCACATAAAAATCAATTATTCATCAATTTTTTATTTTTTTTTTGTTGTTACTCATGATATTAGGTCCATCAATGACCATTGCCACATCGCAAAGAATTTCGGCCAATATTGGTGATAATGTGATTTTAAAATGTGCCTTGGAATCATCAATGTCTTCATCATCATTATCATCATCATCATCATCATCAACAATAGTGAACAATCCAAATAATCATCAAACATCATCAACATCATCATTATCATCATCATTAATTGGTGGTAAAATATCACAAGCATCAGTATCATTATCAACTGAACCATTCATGATACAATGGTATAAGGATGGTTCAAAAAATCCCATATACATTTATTATGAAAATTTTGATCCAACCTATGGTGATGGTTTTGAAGGACGTGTATCATTAGTAGATAAAAATACACAGGCATCATTAAATTTATCAAATATAAAGGATAGTGATCAAGGATGGTATGAATGTAAAGTATTCTATTTAATGCGTGAAAATAATGATGATGATCCGGGTAAAAATCGTACAAGAATTTTACTTGAAGTTAACTGTAAGTATTTGCCATTCTATGACAATGATCATCATGATCATGATGATGACCCTTGTGTTTCATTCATTCATCTTCACATCAAATCAGAATCTGCATGAATTTTTTTTTATTCATAAAAATTTTAAAATAAAAAAAAAGTTTCTGGAAACAAAAATAGTGAAAGTAACAGCACGACAACATCTTGCAATAATAATACAAAAATAAAAGTTTCTCATCCATAAAATATTTGGCTGTTGTAGAAAAGGAAATAAATTCTTTTGAATGGATAACAAGATGATGATGATAATGTTGTTGTTCAACAAGAATCGAACTGTTTTCCATACACACACACACACACACAGACACTGGTTATCAACAAATCAAATTCTGGCCATTGAAAATAAAAAATAGAATCAAAAGAATGAAAAAAAAACTTTTTCTCTACAAATAAAAAAGTTTCATATTTTTTTCTGAATTTAAATCTTGAATTTTTTTTCCATTTACCTGATCATGGACAATCAGAACAACAGCACAGTGGAAAACTTTGCTTTTTAAATGTATCAATATACTTGAGGCGATTTCTTTTTTCTTTTTTTTCCGTTCATATAAAATTCAGAAACCTTCAGGTATAACATGATTCTGGATTCTGGATTCTTTTTTTCATATCATCGACATTTTGATTTTGGATTTTCCACTACAGTGGAATTAAGTTAAAGAAGAAAAAAAAATAATTAATTTTTAAACGAATCAGATTCAGTTAGACTGATGTGCACACAGACTTAAGCCCACGATGATGATGATGATGGCAAAAAAAATTCATTAATCATTTTGACTAGAAAAAAATCAGAAAGCAAAAAAGTGAATCAAAAAAAAAAACGGAAAAGGAAAGAGAGAGAGAGAAACGATAAATTATTCAATACATGATGGAATATTGATGGAATTTAGTTCAGGAATCATAATAATAATGAAAAAAATAGACTTAATTCTTTTGATTTTCGTTGAATATATTCAAAATAGCGGATGAGAGAGAATGATAATCGCATTTTTTTTTTTGTTCTTCTTGGTAATTAATAATAACCAAGTTTTTTTTTGGTGATGATAATTCATCTTCAATCAACCAGCGAAAACAGTAAAAAAAACATTTTTGATTATATAATTAATTAACATTGAAAAAAAAACCGAACGAATGAATGAATGAATGATAATCTAAGAATAAAATTCTCAATCATTTTCTGATCAAATTCTTGATTCTTGTTGTTTTTTTCTCTGTTAAATATAGCACCACCACATTTTAAAGAGAAACCACCAGAAGCTGTTTTTGTTAAATCAGGCGATTCATTAACAATACATTGTCGTGCACATGGAACGCCAACACCAACGGTTCTTTGGCAAAAGGTAGCGTGGCAGTGTTGTTTTTTTTTCATTCTTCACTTCGATTTTTTTTTTTCATTTTTTCCAGGATAATTCCTTAGTTCAAAATAGTGCCTCAATACGTGTTCATGGTGGTGAATTGATATTGAAATCAATTCAAAAAGATGATACCGGTACCTATGTTTGTATAGCAAAAAATCGTCAAGGTTCATTATCGGCCAATACACAAGTGTTGATTTCATCACCGGCTGAAATTGTCAATCCACCACGTAATACAACAGTATTGGAAAATAATCGTGTAGAAATGTCATGTGGTGCACGTGGTACACCATCAAATATCACTTATCGTTGGTATCATAAAGGAATTTTGATTAGTCAATTACAAAAATTAGCACATCGAACAAAAATAAAAACCGATGGTACATTAGTGATATTATCTGCTGAACCTGATGATGGCGGTAAATTGACCTGTGATGCAACCAATGGTATTGGTGAGCCAGATACTGCCTATGCTCAACTTAGTGTTGAATGTAAGTGTTAAATAGCAATAAATGTGTGATTTAAAAAAGAAAAATTGTTTTCACAGTTCCAGCACGTGTAACATATTCACCTGCACGACAATATCTACCTCTTGGCATGTCAGGCATTGTACGTTGCTATATACAGGCATCACCACAATTACAATTTGCTACATGGACAAAAGATCATCGAATGTTTGATCCAACAACATTACCGAATGTTGAACTATTAGCCAATGGTTCATTATTGTTTCATAAAGTTTCACAAGAACATCATGGTTTTTATCGTTGTACGCCATATAATCTACAAGGTACTGGACAAAGTTCTAATTCAATGGAAGTTATTGTTCGTGGTAAGTGTTTGTAGCTGGTTTTTAAAAAAACAAAATCAAAAATCTCAAATTTTTCAAGCAATCATCATCATCATCATTAATGGAATTATTCATTTATCCAGACGGTAAAAAGCTTTTTTTCAGCTTGAAAATCACAGAAAAAAATTTTTATTTATATTTCAACAAAAACGAAAAAAAAAATCAAATCAAATCAATAATTTTCACTCATTGATCGATTGAACAACGATCGAATGTAATCGAATCAATTTCAGTCGACTTGAACATGTTTTTATCGGAAAATTTTTTTTTTTTTGTTTTGTTTAATGCATTACAAATGGCAACCAAAATGGAAAAATTTAAAACGCATCCAAAAAACCAAAGAAAAAAACAGAGAGCAACTCCATCCATTACATTATAATCTATCTATCCATCTAGGATGTTTTCCAGTTTAGTTTATGAAGTAACTGTACCGATTTTTTGGGGGTTTTCCATAATTTTCAGTTCGTTTAATGTTTTCGGCATTGTGTCCAGATTTTTTTCTGGTTTTTTTTTGGTACATTAAAGCATATTATAAATGGATGAAATGAAAGGTATTACAAAAACAAAAGGATAATAAAAGACGATAATTTATTCAATGTTTTGATGATGATGATGATGATGATTACTATTTTATTTTTGTTCATCAACTGGTCAGTTGTTTGGTTGACCGAAAAGTTTTCACTTGTTTTATGTACATGTGTATGTATCCGACAACAACAACAACAACAACAACAACAAAAACAACGAATAATGATCATTATCGTTGTTGTTGTTGTTTTTTTATTCGGATGATGAAACACAAATAATCATGTATATATACAGAAAAAAAATCAGTGCATTGAAGTGAATTTTTTTTCCTGTTTTGTTTTGTCTTGATTTGACATTGTTTTTTTTTTTTTTTTTTGGTTGGTTGAAAAATTTTTATTTTTGTTTTTTTTATGCGTAATAAAAATAGGTGAAACACACACACACACACACTTGGTTTATGAGCAAGAAGAGAATGATTCCATCTAGCTGCTGACATCATATGGTCATCGTGATGATGGTCATCGTGATGATGGTGGCCATTCCCATTGCACACATAAATAATACGTGAGCACAACTACATTTCTAACAAACAAATCGTGATTCGATTTCCAAATAAATGTTTTGTGTACAAAAAAAACAAATTCGAAAAAGCCTATAACATTTTCATTGTCAAAAATGGACGGTGGCTATTGGCTTTGATTCTGTTGTTTTTTTTTTTTTTTGTTTTTAGTTTAGTTTGCAAGTCATTTCCTAATGTTTTGCACTTTTAGCCCTTTACTTTTTTATATTTATTATATATAACGGCAAAATAAATGATCCTTACTTGATAATCATCGATCTTTTTTTTTTGCTTTTGCTTTCACATTTTCCGTTTTGACCATCGTTAGCCATTTGATTCATTGATTCATTCATTAATCATTAGAATCATATATATGATTTGACATTGAATTGTGATCTGGTTTCATATTTCGACAATAATCATACTGATTAATAACAACGAATGAATCCATGGACAATGTCCATGTCCATGTGTGTGTGTGTGTATGTGTGGATGTAGTTGGCATGATCCAAATAAATGAATGAAATGAAATTCTAATCACGTGCATTTCATTATGAATTTCAATGTTTCGATTGAGAAAAAATTATTTTTTTTCAACAACAAAATTTGTTTTGAATTTGACATTTCATATGAAAAAAAATGAGAAAATTGATTGTTAAATGTGTGACAAATAGAAATAAAAATAGAAAATTAGGTCACACACACACAGAATTACAGAGACCAGAATTTTTTTTCTGGTGGTGGTACTTTTTTGAGTTTACCCGTTCAATATATCCAGAATACGGAATGAATATCGCCACACACACACACACACACACACACACAGACATTTATTGACGATGTTCCAAGGAAAATGATTCCAACCCAAAAATAGCATCAATTTAATCGACCAAAAAAAAAAGATTAAAGCTCGTTTATGTCCGTTTTCTAATTCATTGGAAAACCAACTACCACTACTACCACCACTAATAATGTTATTGATTCACAAAAAAATAGTAGAAAAGAGTTCTTGGTGTGTTCCAAATTTTTTTTTTTTTTTTTTGATAACAATCGTCACACACAGATTCATGGATGGAAAAAGTTTTCAAAAAAAAAAATTTTCTTTTCAGATTCCACTTAGATTCCATATATACTGTAATTAAGTTTGAAGTGTAAGAAAAATGGAAAATTATTCTTTGCTCTTCTGGCATCTGGCAATGTTTGGATACAAAAGATCTTGGCAAAAGAATTTCTGTGGTATAAACCTGGATTATGATGATGATGATGATGATGATGATAATCGATATGTTTATAAATCATTGCGTGATGAATTTCACTTTCTAATCATTTTTTTGTGATGCTTTTTTTTTTTCTCATTTCATGTTTGCGTGTCAATCGATTTTTTTTTTTTTCTGTTGGAAAACGAATCAAAACACATCATTTTCTTTTCTTTTTCGGTGCTGATAACAAAACAAAAACGAAATAAACAAACCAAAACAAACAAACATCAATGATTGATCATCATCATCATCATCATGATGGAATATAGAGCCACCAATGTTTAAAATATCACCACAAGAATATTATGTATCATCAATGGATGATGATGTTACAATGTCATGTGAAGGAATGGGACAGCCAAAACCAAAAATCAGTTGGAAACGGGTATGTATATAGTGATTACTGGATTTGGATTCTTTTTTCTATGTCATAGTTATTCTTGATAAAAAAAAAAAAAAAATTCTTTGCTCGATTATTTAAACGAATTAAAAATATTCCATGAAAAAGACGATGGCTGTAGTGAAAAAAAAAATCTAATTTAATTGTTTTCATAGGATTTAGATAGAGAATTTTTTTTTGCAAGAAAAAAAACGTCAATTTTAGTGTTTCATTCATTGATTGCTTTAAATTTTCATTTTCCACTTTCAATGTGGGTGTATGTGTGTGTGTGTGTGTGTGTGTGTGTGCAATAAATTAAACGACTATAGTAATTCTGTGTAGAATTTAGAGAAAGAGATAACACTGTGATGGTGGAATTAGCTAAGTAGAAATGATAATGATGACGATGTGTAATGAAAAAGAATTAGTATTCAAACATCCAATGGATGTTATCATTGGATCAGTGGAAATTTTTTTTTTTATCAAGTTAATAGCTCCCATAGGATCGATGAATCTGTGGAATTTATTTCTTAATTTTTTTTTACATTTTTATTTCGATTTTTATTTGTTTGTTTGATTGATAATTTAACTTTTGTCTGATATTGATATTTTTTTTCCCATTCTGTTATTGACAATTATATTAGATTGGTGGCAATGGAAAAATGCCCAAACATTCATATCAACGTAATGGAAATATAACATTGGTCAAATTGAGAAAAGAAGATTTTGGCCATTATGAATGTGTGATTGAAAATGAAATTGCCATTTTGGTTGCTCAAACAGAGATCCGTATGAATGGTATGTTGATGGTTGAATTTTTTTTTTTCATTTTTTTTAAATTTTTTTTGGAGTAAAAAAAATGTTTAATTAACTACTAAATTGACTACTATTACTATGTGTGTGTAAAACAAATATGAATATGTGATTAATTAATCCACCCATACTTACACACACATGACCATGGCCGTCAATCAATCAATCTATGTATGGTCAAAAAAAGCTCTAAATTCATATATGCAAACGACAATCATACACGCACACACACACACACACATACAGTAGGCAATGGAAATGCATTTTTTCCATCCCCTTCCACCTACGCATACCATTTTCCATTCCACACACTACACAAACAACCAAATCATCATCATCATCATCATCATTAAATTAAGCTTCATCCATTTCCATTTTTTCCATATATTTTTCATTCATAACAAAGTTTTTCATTTCCATACTATCCATCATGTACGTATGTAAATGGTAATTATTTTGTAATTAGATTAATAACAAAAAAAAAAAAACATGCTCACATCACATTGCAATTGTGTGGATACATGTGTGTGTGTATCGTAAAACACCGTAAGTTCATCATTCATAAATATCACGACAGTATTTTCCGACATCTTTTTTTCATCTCCAACCCTCCTGCAAAAATGCAGCGGTTTATCATCTGCGTATGATCCAAGAATTTTCTTTTTTTCACCAGAAAAATGGAAAATAATAATAGGGTCGGTTTCATTTCGGTTACAACAATAACAACAACAACAACAACCACGACAGTTTATTAGACAATGATTATGATGATGATCTCTTCAATAATAACAATTTGCAAAAAAAAAAAACACACACACAGTGAGAGAGAAAGAGAGAGAGAACCATAAAGAATCATGGCCAGAATATGAAATGACGCCCTCTGTGGATTTTTTTTTCACCTCCTTTATCTCTACTTATCCATATGGTTTGCCCAACTCTCAACATTGTGATTATCATGATGATGATGATGATGATGATGATGATGTGTGTGTGTGTGTGTGTGTGGGTTCCAAATCATCGAACAAAATTAGGTTTTTGATAGATCAATAAATTGATTGACCAATGCCATTGATCTGTCATTAATTTTTTTAATTTTTTTTCTCGTGTTTTTTTTTCTGTTTCACACAGGTACCACGCCTTATGCACCAACCAATTTGACTATCAATACAAGTGCCTATGCTGCAACATTGATGTGGCAACCAAATTTTGATGGTGGTCTACGGCAACATTTTACAATAAGGTATGAATATTCTTTCTTTTTATCTTCATTTTTATAATAATCAAACCAAAATAGACCAGTTAGATTATCGGTTTGTTTGAACTGTATTTTGATACACTGTGTGAACCAAAAAAAAAAAAAAATATATCCATTTGGGAATTAATTATCGAATTTGTTTCATCTTCTTTTTTCTGTTGTTGTTGTTGTTGTCCAATTAGCTTAATTAATCAATAATAAAACAGACACAATGGTGTTATAAAACCAAATTCATTTCAATTGTTAAATTAGTTTTTTTTTGCTGGATCTATCACCTGAAATTGTTTGTTGTTTTTTTGTTGTTGTGAAAAAGTGATGAAATCGGTGATGAAAATTCATTTCAATAAGTTTTAAATGGACCAACAGAATAGTCGGGAAAATTTCATCATGAATTTTTCTTTCTTCTATTTATAGAATTTTTTTTGCTCTCCAGTGGTATTCATTTTTTCAAACTCAATCAAAGAATAAAAAAAATGGAAGAATATAGAAAAAGAAAAAACATACACACAAACCAAGTCCCCTTAGACAGGGACAACGTCAACAACAATATGCACTTACAATTGTCGTTTTTTTTTGGAATCGGAATTTTTTTTTCAATTCATTCGATGATGATGATGAAAATTGAAATTGCAATTCAATTACAGAATTCAAGAGAAATGAATAAAAGTAAAAAACATGACTGTGTGTGTGTGTGTGATGTAATGTTTTTATTTTCATTGAAAACCATTTTTCATTCATCATTTACACTTTGAATTTTTTTTTTATTTTTGCGAGAGAGAGAGAAGAGAGAGAGAGAAAAAATTGAATTTTTTCATAGAATTGAATTTTTTTTTTTTTCATTGTGTTTTGAGTTTTGTCACCGATATTTCCATTCCGATTTTTTCTTTTTTGATCAATTTCAATTTGATAAAAACTTGAAACTTTTTTTTTGCTAGTGAAAAATCAATGAAATCAAAGACGAATGAATGCAAAAAAAAAAAAAAATCTAAATTCCATCATCGATAATCTAAACACCGAAAAAAAAATCTATTGAATTTATCTATAATTTCACATTTTTTTTGGCCATCTGTTTGGCCATTTCGTTTTCATCATCCGGATTTTATTCAACAACAAAACCAGACATATAAATTGGTCAAACGATATGGTCAATAATAAGATTAGATGAATGAATGAATGAATGAATGGAAAAAAAAGACAAGACCTCAGATGTATTTATCCATTTTTTTTTTTTGTTGATGAATAAATCTTATTATTATCATTCATTCTTTTTTGTTGTTGTTGTTGTTGTTCCAAATCCAGAGAAGAAAAAAAATCTGATGAAATGAGGTTTTTTTTCCACTACCATACATGTGAATAATGTTCATTCCATTCTATTTTATTTTGTTGATGCAGATAATAATGTTCCAAGTTGATGATGATGATGATGATGATGATAGTCATCATCATCATCATGGACCGGAATCGACAACAACAACAGCAGCAGCAGCAGCAAAACCAACCAATGACATAGATTTGTTTGTGTCTGATAGTGATGATTTGTTGTTGTGCAAAAAAAATGAACATCGTCTAAACTAAATCAATGTCTTGTGTGTGTGTGTGTGTGTGTGTGTGTGTGTGTGGTTCAATTTTCATTGATGATGATGATGATGATTATGATGATTTCAGCATTTTTTTTTTCTTATTCTAGATCTGGACAATACACACACACATATTACCATCCGGAACTCGAATAACTATTTCTTTTCTTTTTTTTTTTCGTTTCGGTAATCAGAATCGACAACAACAACAACAACAAAATGAAATACCAGCAATCGATGATGATGATGATGATCAAGATTGCAATTATTTTTTCATGTAATGAAAATAAAAACGTTTTTTTTTTCGTTGTTAGATTCTAAAGTTAATTATCATTATTCTTTGGTTGTTAAAAAACAGAAAGCTGAAAGAATTGGAAATCCTAGTGATCAATTTTCTTTCCAGTTTTTTTTTGCTGCTAATGCAGTAATATTTATCATCATTTTTTTTGTTGTTGTTGTTGTAATTGAAGTTGTGGTTCAAAGATTTCCGTTTTTTGTGTGTGTGTGTGTGTCGTAAAGTGAATATTTTTCGATGATTGATTAAGCAATTATCGATTGGATATTGAACCCAAAAAAAACAAGGTCATTGCAAAGATTGAAAAAGTGATTCATTTTTTATGTATTTTTTCTCAATTTTTATTTTTAGATATCGATTGGCTCAATCTGATGATAGTGGTTGGAAAACGATGCGTGTACAGCCATCGGATTCAAAAGTATTTAGCATCTATAATCTACAATCAGATATGGAATATGAATTTCAAGTGTATGCAACAAATTCATTGGGACGTGGACCAGGTTCTGATTTGATTAAAGCCAAAACTAAATCAAAACCAGATGTAGAGCTATCTTGTAAGTATAATAATAATAATAAATGTTTTATGAGATTCTGTTCAATATAAATGATGGGTGAGAGAATTTTTTATTCTCGCAAATATAAATTTAAACCACAACAAACAAACAAATCTGTCATATTTATTGTTCAACCATTTAAGTATTTGTCGAAATTCAACAAAGAATAGAGAAAAAGAATTTGTTTTTTTTTTTTTTTTTCTTACTTTTCTATTTCCAATGCCATCAACATTTCAAGTGTCCAATTGTCAATTGTCGACAAATTGAATGTTGATGGTGTGGGAGGGGGGTTGAATCTTTTTTCTAATGTCTCTGTGTATGCGTGTGTGTGTGTGTGTGTGACAATCATGTGATGAAAAAAAAGCCGGAATTTTTGAATATTCCGGACATTCGTTGCATGAGACCTTTTAGAAGAAGAATTTTTCTTTTTCGCCTCAACTACAATGGTGTGTCCAAGAAGAATTTAAAAGATTCACTATGGTGTGACAGGATAAAAGTAGTTCACATCAGAATTCTTTTTTTTTTGTTTGAATAATAATGATATATACAGGACAGGAATAGAAATAGTATAGAATGATGGGAACTTTTTTTTCATTTATTCTTTTATTCCATCTTTCATCCGGTCATATTTTCAATCGATTTGTTATTATTTTCCATGTCATATCATACTTTTACTTTTATTTTTTCTTTCGATTCTGGTTCGGTTATCGTTGTTGTTGTTGATGGATTCCATCATCATCATCATCATCATCATTGAATTTCCGCAACAACAACAACAACCCGAAAAAAATTTTTTCGGCAACAACTCTGAACAAAAAAAAAATTGTAGACAAAACTCTATATGTGTATATGCCATTTCAAACCATTCATCCGAATCAGATTCAATGCGACTACTACTTGGTATTGTTATGTGTGTGTGTGTGTGTGAATAAAGTGCAAGGAAAAAAAGAGATGATGATGATGAACGAGAAAAATATAAATGGAAAATTTTTTTTCCGCTTCTTTCTCCTTTCGCATCACTAAATTGGACACACACACACACACACACAGACGCAATTCATAAAATAACTGAGAAATCTTGTGTTTCTGTGTGTGTGTGTGTGTGTGTGTGTGTGTGTATGTTTGCAAAATGACAAAAGATTCAAATATATTATTGACCGAAGAAAAAAAAACAGTAGTGGTAATAGTGGGGTTAGTGTGGCAAAAAAAAAAAACAAAAAAAAAACAAAAAAAAAATTGACATTCAATTTATGAAATGAAATGTGAAACGAAATGAATGAATATTTCCACCCTCCCCCACCGTCCCTACTCATTCAATTCCCGGATACCATCATTCTCTATCCACTGGTTTTTGTGTTTTTATTTCGTACCAAAACAATGATGATGATGATGATGGCCAAATTGATTAAAACCAGCCCATATATAAACATGTTACGCACACACACACACAAAACAATAGGACGCCAGCAATTGGGGCAGAATACAATGATATACAGATGATGATGATGAGATCCAGGAATAAAGCTAAAGCCAATGATGATGATCATTACTCTAGTGGCATTATCATCATTGTGATTGTGATTCTGTGTGTGTGTGTGTGTGTGTGTGTTGGACTAGAATATACAATAAAATACCAGTGAATAAAAGAAAAAAAAGAAAGTAGAAAGATAATGAGAAAAAAGACAAAAGAGAAAGTGAGAGAGAGAGAGACAGACAGAATAAATGGGGTAAATGTTATGCAGAATAACTAGAATACGTCGTTCGATCGAAACAAAAAAAAAAAAAAAAAAAAAAAGAAAGAATAAATCCACAGAATAATTTCGGTTCAATTGAAACGTAACCAAAAATATTATGAAAATTCATCCAAATCTATTCTATTGATCATTTGGATCGATAGAATATATTCTTTTGTTTTGTATCTAGTAGTCTAGTTATCTTATTTTCTTTAATCATGAATGGTCAAAAAAAAATTCTTTATGGAATTGAATTTATTTTTATTTTAATGAGTACAAAACAATGCTCTACTGCTTACCAAAAAAAAACGTGAAAAACAACAGAAACTAATCAAAATTCTTTGACCGAATGAAAGAATTTGAACGCAAAAAAAAACAACAACAACAACAGCCATGGACTGGTTGAATTAAGCTTTATCGTGACAATGATATTCGAAACAAACAAACAAATGAAAAAGAATTAATTCGAATTGATAGAAAGTTGATCATATATTCATTGAATCTGTCATTGTTTATTATTGTCTCTGTCCTGTTTGTTTGTTTGTTTGAGCTTGTTGCCGTCGTCGTTGCTGTTGTTGTTGTTTTCATTCATTAAATTCGTTAAATTTTTTTTGCATTTCTTGCATTTTATTCATTCATTCATTCATTCATGAGTTTCAAGCATCGATTGAACAGAGAAAAACGACATTCTTTTGTTTTTGTTTACTATATATGCGATCCAGGCAATTGATATTGCTGATATGGAAAGAATTTTTCATTTTCATTTTCGTTGTTTGTTTGTTTGTTTATTCAGTATCCTATATCTGCAGAATATACACTTGGTTACGTCAACAGGAATTCATATGATATGTCTATACATGAGAACTATGGCAGTGTGTGAGAGTGAACAAAAACAAAAAAACAAAAAGCAAAAAAAACTGAATTAATGAAATTCGATCCATCTTATACAGACACACACACACACACACACAGACACACTGAATGTTGTTACAGATATGAATTTTAAAAAGAAGCAAAGCAAAAAAAAAAGAATTAGAAAAAATCACTGAATCATAAATATTAAGAATCATCATCACCGTGTATTGAAATTCTTGATTAGATTCATTCAGTTTTTTTTTTTTTTGGCACTCACAGGCCAGATATTGAATATAATGATATGATAATAATCATGATAATATATTCTATGGCACCCAAAAATGAAGAGAATCATGAAACAACATTTCAACTTGTTATTGAATTCTTTTCTCTTTTCTTCTCATTTTTTTTGTTCCTTAAATAAACCGACGAGAATTAGACAGTTAGAGTTTGGGATTTTTTCTCTCTCTCTCTCTCTTTGCTTCTTACAAAAAAATGATTGTGATTAACATTTAAATGACGAATAATAATTCAATTGTTGTCGTTTTTTTTATATTCTGTTTTGAATGTGAAACAAAAAAAAAATGAGAATAAATCCAATGTGGATCGAGGCAATTGTCATCACTACCATTTTCTCATTACCATCATCATTAGAATTTTAAGTTCATGCCCACAATTCTTGATGAAGAACTATTCGTTAAAGAATCAGGAAAAAAATTGTCTTTTCCAATGTTAATCAAGAATCAAAGTGAAATTTATAAAAAAAAAAAAAATAGAACCATTGTAGCCCATCACGTGATCACTATTTATGGGGAACTTTTTTATTTGAATGAATTAAATTCACGTAAACATTCTCATAAAGAAAGTTATGATAAAAACTCAATGATGATGTGTGTGTATGTGGATGGACTTTGATCATTCACTTTTATCAAATAATCGAGTGAATTGAAATGAAAAAAAAATCATCATCATCATCACCACTTATCTCTTGATTTGTAATTTTCATTTGTGACATAATGTTCTATATATCAGACGACGACTAACTATTACTACTATTATCGATGGTTAAATCAAGCAATTTACAAAAACAATTTTCTTGTTGTTGTTGTTGTTGCTCCTTCAACATAATGACAACAACAACAACGATGATAATAATAATGGAGAATGTAAAATAATAATCACTGATACTTGAAAGTTTTTTTTTTTTCTTCCAAGAAAATTCTGTAATTCTGATTAAATCTTTCATTGAATGTGAATGATTCATTCTTTTATACATACACACACACACACACGAATACTAAGTAATTAACTTTAATTTTATCTCTTTGAAAAACGTAATGTAATTGTTGTTGTTGTTATTATTCAAGTGGTGAATCGATATATACAGCCCATGAATTTGTAAACAAAACTTTTTTCTATTTTCTTCTTTTTTTTCCATAGTACAAAATATTGTATCACAATCGGATCCGGATACAACGACCAACAATATGATTAGAACATTAGATGTACCGACAGTAATACCGGAATCATTATCAGCAATATCTGGAATGTCAACAAAATTATCGATTCTTAATAATGATAATAATAGCCATTCGATTGATAGCGGTGGAAGTAGTGGTGGTGGTGGTGGTAATGGTGGTGTAACACCCGGATCACCACGTAATGTAAGCATTGAAAAAATGGCACAAGGTTGGGTTGTATCATGGTTACCACCAATGCATCCACAACCAACACCGGTAGCTTATTATTCTGTAGAATATCGTGAAGGCGATGGTGATTGGAATATGTCCGAACAGATTGCTCAAGATAATGCCTATCTAAGTGAGTAGTTTTTTAAAAATTTTCATTTCAGATTTTTATAATGTTTTGTTTTTTTTCATAGTAAAAGAGTTAAAAACATCAGTAAAATATACGATACGTGTATGGGCCTTTTCCATATTGGGCATTGGCACGGCAAGTTCATTGATCGAATATAAAATAACAAGTAAGCAGAGTTTGTTTGTCCCTTGACGCTAATTTTTCATTCATTCACAATTTCATTTTCCATTGTTGTTGTTGTTTTTTTTTCTGGAACGAACCAAAATTCTTTTTAAAAAAAACAGACACCAGTGGCAGTATGAAAGGATCACGAGCAATAACAGCCGGTGTTGTTGGCAGTGTTTTGTTTTTTGTTGCTGCCATAATATTATCCGTATGTGCCGTAAAAATTTGCAATAAACGTAAACAAAGAAAAATGGAAAAAGGTAAGCGTTGAATTTTCATTCTCATTTTCTAAATAACCTGCCCCCTCCAAAATGATTCTCATTACCAGATTAATATGATGATGATGATGATGATGATGATGACCATGACCACCTTGGTCAAATCTGCAATCAATCAAATTGCACAGAAAAAAAAGCTGTCATCATCATCATCATTGTTATGTGAACAAAGTTGTAGGCGAATAATGAAAATTGAATTGAATCAGAAAAATTCTGGTAATTCAAATACATACTATATATGGCATAGATTCTGGCAACAAAATAGAATTCCAAATTATCGTTATGATTATGAAAAACGTGTGTGTGTGAGAGAGAGAGAGAATGAGATCCATTTATAAGTTTGGCCTACCGAACCGAAATGTCATTGCATTTCGTTGCAGACATTAATTTAATGGATCAACATTTGAAACACATGCACACACACACACATTTAATATGCGCGAGTGAGAAAAAAAAATACAAAAATGACCAAAAAAAACACACACACAAACGGCAAATAAGCATCAAATCTAAAGGGACCATCATCATGCACACACACACACACTCGATAATATCGTATTAAATTCATGAATCGACAAAATGATAGAAACCCGAAACTGGAAAGTTTATTTTCATCATCGAATCTTTTTACGTGGTAATCAATTTTAATTATTAAAAATCCCCAATCGTATTTTAGTTATGTCAATGTATGCATGCATGTCCGTAGAATGGTGGATTGGGAGGGTGGATGTATAATCGAAGAATCGAGAAGAAAAAAAAAAATATATATATATATAGGAATTTGATTTCGTGCCAAAGAATTTATCGGAATCGATTCATTTTTTTTTGTTTTGTTTTGTTTTGTCTCATTGTTTTTTTTTATCATTTTCACATAGCTTATATGATGGTTACATGTCCAGTAATGGACGGTGTTAATGGTACCCATTCACATCATGGTAGTCCAGTTACATTGAAACAGTAAGTATGGAATTTGTTTGTTTGTTTGTTTTTTTCGAAATTCAAAAAAAAAAAAAAAAAATTCTTTTTCTTCTTCTCTCGCTCATTTTTTTTCCTACAGAATTGCTCAAGCAAATAAAAAAGGTAAAATGAATATTTCCATTTTGTTGTTGCTGTTGTTGAGCTCAAATTCTCTTTTTTTTGTTATCCAGATTTTCACAAAGCAGAATATCAAGTCTGAAAATAACGAATGATGATGATGATCATCTTCATCAATTTTATTTCGATGGTGGTGGCAACAACAAAAAAATGACTTCTAAATCTACCTGGTGGTGGTACACCGGCACAGCAAGAGATAATAAATGACAATATCCAATTGACTACCAACAAGAAAAACTAGAAAAACCAATTATAGTCATCGATATTTTTTTTTTGCAAGTTAAACCACCGTTTTGTGTGTGTGTATGACAAACTCAACAGACACAGCTTGAAACAATCTACTACTACTATGGTCTATTATTCTGGCTTTTTTTTCTTAAGAAAAAAAAATGACAAGAATTTTTTCTGAAAAAATTCTTGCCAAACAACGGAATCGACAACCCAAAAACAATTTTCATAAATCATTTTTTTTTTTTTGAGCAACACGACTACCAGAAAAAAATTGAAGAAATGACATCCATGTGAAAGTAAAAAACAGGGAAAAAAAGAAACAAGAAAACCCAAAAAAATGACGACATGTGATAGTGATAATAATGACCTCGAAGAAATTGGAACAACCAAAAAAAAAAAAAGAATTATAGAGACCAAAAAAAAAAATGAAATGAAGAAACATTCGGTTACATTGTCGTCAGAATTGGTTTCGTTTTTTTTTGTTCTTTGTTCTTTTTCTCAACAATCATTCATTGTTACTGATGATGGTGGTGGTCCAAGAGAATGAGAATGAAAAAAAAATGAAAAATTGAACCGACAACCGAAAATAAAACTGGAAAAAAAATCTCTATCTGTACAACACAGCATTGAATGAATATATGGTCACACAGCGAAAGTGAGAGAGAGAGAGAGAGAGAGGGAAAAAAAACTTTGAGCTCCATTTCCATTTGTCGTCGTTGTTGGTCGGCCCAGAACATGATGACACAATTCAGCCCGAAGTGGATTTTTTGATCTAGCAAAAAAAAAAAAAAGTTTTCAACATTGATCCACAATGACTATGGCTGCTGCTATTACAACCATCACCACCGCCACCACCACCACCACCACCACTGCTGGCTGGCTGGTTGGCTTGCTCATCATAAGAAGAAGAAGAAGAAATAAGAAACATTTCGATGATTTTTGATTCATTTTTTTCATTTTCATCCATTTATATATCTTGATTGTTTTTATTTTGTTTTTCATGTGTCTTTATTATTCCACATGTGAATATATATGATGATGATGATTTTGATTTTGATTTTTTTTTTTTTTTTTTTGATTCACTAAATAAATTGTGGAAAAAAAAAATTTTTTTGAAAATAGAATTGAATCAATGCCTTGTTTTGTTTTTGTTTTTTCTGTTTTCGTTCGACCACAAAAAACAAAACCAGAATCAAAAATAGTGTGGGTGGAAAAAAAATAAACATTTTCTGGTTTTGTTTTCCATTCACCGCCACCGCTACCACCACAGCCAAAAGAATAGGAAAAAGATTCATCATTGGAAATTTGGTAAAACAGAATCGAAACTTTTTTTGTTGTTGTTGTTGTTGTTGTTGGAATCGTCTAAAGTAGAGAGACAACACACACACACACACACACACAAGCAATAAATTTTGATTAGTTGTCCTATTTACCGTGTGTGTGTGTGTGTGTGTGATACCCATAAACATTTTTCTTTTTGGGCCAAAACAAACAAAAATATATCGGTTTCATTTTTTTTTCTTGGAGATAAAATATAAAAAGTTTTCATTTTTTATGGATTTCTTATTCACACACACACACAGAAAAAAATACTGAGCAAATGGAAAATAAATTGAGCTGTAGAGAGAGAGATAGAGAATCTTTTTGGCCATCTGGTCATTTTTTTGATTTGAAAAAAAAAGAATCGCCAGATGAAAAAAAAAACAAAAAGAAATGTTTGGCATACATATTATACTGAATAATTTAATAAATTTAATTGTTATTTATGTTGTAGTCAATGTCGCTGCTGCTGCTGCTGCTGTTATTTTGTTGTTGAAATAGAAATAGAAAAACCACCAAAACTTGAAAAAAAATTGACCTTTGAGTGTAAAGCAATCATGTGATGTGCGTGTGTGTTTATTTAAAGTACCAACAAAAAAAAAAACAACAACTCCATATCGTTCAATGATGAAATAAAAAAAATCCATCAAAAATTATCCAAGCAGATCATTATTGTACAAATGGAAAAAAAATATTGACAAAAAAATGAAAAAGAACCATTTTGATAACCATGTTGTCAACCAAATGTTCTTGTTGTTGGTGGTTGAATGATTCGAGTATTGATGATTATGATGATGATGATGATGATGATTTATAAGTACATGTGCCGCGGGTATATATCTCTTCATTATCATCATGACTTTGAATATATATACCAGGAATATATTCAAAGTCATTAACTCTTGCTTTTTTTTTTTCTTGTTCACTATCTCTCTCTTGCTGTTTTTTTTTCTCTGCGATTCCCGAAAACAATGACATTATGAATTTGAAAATCTATTTTCTCAAGAATTTCATGTACCAAAAAAAATTACACGCTCCAAGGATGAAATGCCGAAACTTTAAGACAGAAATTTATCAAATGATTCTGTTATATATACTCACTGACAGTGGAAGAAAAAAAAAGAAGAAGATCTTGACTTCTTAATAGAATTGAATACAAAACAAAAAAAAAACAGACAAACAAACCAGACAAACGAATTGGAATTGGAGTTTTTTTTCACCGAAACGATAATGATGAAAAAATGCTAATAGTAATCGGTCGGTCGGTCGGTCGTTTGGTCGGTGGGCCACAGCATCATCATTGTGGAATGGCATGGTCGTATCCGACGGACCGAACGGACCGGACCGGCTGAATAAATTGAGATCAGAATTTTTTTTTTTTTTTGCTTTTCTTCAAGCCGATACACAAAAAAGCCAAAAAGAAATTATTCGTATAATTTATTTAGTATAAGTACCGTTCCAGAAAAAAAATAAACAAGCAAACATGATGATGATGATGATGATGAAGAAAAAGTGAAAACCCGGAATTTTTTTTTTCTTGTTTTACTTATTGTTCTTTGTTGCTGTTGTTGTTGTTGTCCTTCAGATGATATTCGATTCTTAATGATGCCTTATGGCACCGTATTAAGATGCATTCACATTTCGATTCGATTCGATTCAAATATGACCGGAAAACTCATACACACACACACACACGCACACACGGAATTTTTTTTTTTGTTTTTCATTTTCGATTTCAGTTCTTTGTTTGTTTGTCTATAATTCCCAAATGAGTTTGATAATTGTACATGATGATGATGATGACGACGACGACGACGACGACAACAACGTCAAACACACATATTCAGTCGATTTGGATTAAATTTTAATGCTGCCACCATCAATGATAATGATGATTTTTTTTCTGTTTTGTTTCTCAGGGCCAAACAAACGAACAAACGAAAAAACGAACGAATGGAAAAAAAATTTGTCACAAAAAAAAATACAAATACAAATCATAACAATGACGACGATGATGACGTTTATGTTTGTATAAAGGGTCATCATCATCATGATCATTATTAATTTATTCATAAAGCGACACCGATCGAATATATATGTACAATTGGATGGAAAACAAACAAAAAAAATTTTTTTCATATTTGAATAAATTACACAATTAATGAGCTTTTGTGTTTGGCAGTAGAATTTCATATTTCTAAATTTTCTAAATAAAATAAAAAAAATATTCGAATTGCGGCTGCGTTTTTGATCATTTTTTTGGTTTTTCACATGAGGGGGTGGACTATACCTTGATGAATGAAAAAGTATTGAGTTATTTTTTCTTTTGGCCCTAGAACATAGAATCGATCGAAATTCGCTATTGGCAACTGGAATGAATCATCATCATGAACAACGAATCAACAACAACAACAACAACATAAAGAATGATTCTGTTTTTTTCCGGTCCAAAATCATTTTTTTCATTGCTTCGGTTCTCATCATCGTTGTTGTCGTTTTTGTTTTAAATTGGAGGAATTTTAAAGAATATTTAAAAAAAATATGAAAAAATCCACCTCAATCCTTATAACAATAATGTTATTCATTTTATTCAATCTGATTGTTTATCTATTCATCTATCATGATCCTGGTAATATTTCCACAACATTTGATGATCTATATGAATATCAACCTGAGCAGCAGCAGCAGCAGCAACAACAACAACAATTAACGATAAATGGAAAATTAACATTTTCACGTCATAAATCAATTATATCAAATTTATGGCTAATATCGGTGATTATAATTATCGTACTATTAGCATTTTGTTTTAAAACAACAACAACAACAACAAAAACAACAAAATCATTACAAAGATATAATGGTAGTATAACAAATCGTTTGACATTAATACGTCGTAATCAATGGATGGATTCTAGTATCAATCAAAATATTACAAGCAATGCCGGCGGCGGTGGCAACACTGTCAGCATAAATAATGATCAAAATGTTTATTTTAATCTAGTTTCAATGAATTATCCACAACCAAATGATATGTATTATGATGATGATGATGATGATGATAATGATAATGATTCAATAATTAGCCAAAATCAAAATAATGTGAATAATACAACAACATCAGCATCATCATCATCATCATCATCATTATCATCACCACCACCTGATTATTATCAAATTGTATTACCGAATACAACGAAAAAATTATCATCATCAATATCATCACCATCATTATCATCATCTACAAAATCATTGACAACAACCAAAATGATTAAACAACGTTCCAACAACAATGGTAATAATATGATGATGATGATGATGGAATTACCACCACCATCATATGAAATGGCAGTAAAAGATTTTGATCGTCATCAAAACAGTGGCAATGATTATATGATTCGGAATCAAACATTGTCAGATTCTACAAACAATCATCGTCGTGAATCAACGATAACAACAACATCATCACAACATGAATTGAGCATTACAACTATTGCCAATTCAAATAATGATGTTATAAATTCGGTTTGTACAGCTGCTACGGCTATGGTTGAAATAGTGGAATGAAAAAAAAAATATCATATCGAATACGATAACTAGAACCAGAATCGATAACAGAGAATTCCAGAAACGAAAACGAAAAACGAAAATTTGACTGTCTCATACACACATACATACACGAATCATCGTAGTCGTGGTCGTCGTTACACGACATTAACGATCAAGTTTCAGGGGCCATTAATTTACAATTACCCAACAAATAAAAGAATATATCCATCGACGACATTCGACTGTTGTTCAATGTTATTTCTGATACTGGTGAACAGAATTTGATTCCATAACTCTCAATAACACACACACACATCGAACATCGACCTCTGGGACAAAGTGGAAATGAAGCGCAAATCCATTGGAAAAAAAACAAAGCAAAAACAACAACCAAAATGACTTTCGTTTCAAATATTGAAATAACCGAACCGAATTGATGGGCGCTGATTATGATTATGATTA